AAACAAGGATCGCTTGAGAACTATGGCGTGACGAGTTGCTCTATCGTGTCATTCAGGAGATCTACACAAACCCTGTGATTATGCACTTGGCATACAGCACCTTGGTGGGATGAGACCGAACAAGGTTTCAGCGCAGGCTTGCAAATCAAGCGGCACATTGATAGCTGTAGGTTTTTGCATTTCCTAATTCAAGAAATAAGAAGCTATGAGAAACCCAAAGGGCTAGTTAGGGCTAGGGCACCTGTCGGCATGCAGGTGATGTTTGTAATCTCACCTGGCACATTTGCAACTATTAGGCAGCAGCTCAGCAGCCACGCGCACCTTGGCCGTGGCAGGGATCCCAGGCACCAGAAAGCTCTTGAAGTTCAGCGGAACTTTGTGCTATGTTGGCTTCAAAGTGTTGTGCTCTCTTTGCAGGTTTCACATAGCTCGACGAAGCTCCAAGGTGGCGACCCTCCTGGTGCAAGCCTTGGGCACTGCCATCTTCGGGGTGCAGGTCACTGCGCTAAGCAACCTGTCGGAAGAGGGCGTGGCTCCTCCGACTTTTTGGGCGGATCCCAACCCAGGAGTCAAAGATAGTCTAAGTTTTCATCTATTTCAGGTGCTGAAGCTTTCTCATCCTAAGAGGCAGTTCATATGAGATGCAATGCTACTACACCCATCCACTTCAACCTGAGAAGAGTAGTAGACTTTGTATGGTTCCAAAGAAGGACGAATTATGCTTTTCAGATCTTCGGCAAACGCTTCTTCCAATGTGAGGTCAATTCATGCCGAACGACTTGAACAATGGCCACATCGAGAAGCATGGCTTGACTTATCCAACCTTTTAGGTTCATAAGTTTGTTTACTGTAGATATTTTGAACATTTAAGAGACACACAGTGCCTTGGCAAGCTCTAGTCGATGCAGAATGCCATAGAAGGTTCAACTTCCTTTACACCAGTGGCCTCATGCAAGCAAGCCTAGCAGGTCGTCAATCATTGCAGTTATTACTGATAATCCTTGCATCCATCAGGTATGGCTATTACATGAGCCTGGGCATTGCCTTGTTCTTCTATGTGGCCTTTGTGCGCGCCATGCGTATCTTCCGTCCAGTTTAGGAGGTGAGTGAGTAGATCTTGGCGGTCGCAGAGGTCGCAATCGGTAATGGCCTCGCATTGACTAGTTAGAGCAGTGGCTGCGGCTGTATAAGTGAAATAGCGCAGTGACCAAGAACGCTGAGACGGCTCAAACGGGCCTTCGGAAGATGAGGCACGGGCAGCGGTTGGGGTGCTTCCTTTCTTGTGGTTCAATTGCAATGTGTTACCTCTCGTCATGCTTTTGATGGCTTTGCTTTTTTCCTATGTCTTACCGCAGATCCATGTCCTTCAGCAGAGGATCTGGGGTGAGACATGGTGAACATTTCTAGTATCCTCACATGCAGCTGTCCGGCACATGACGATGCCGATGCCCGTTTGCTGCTTGCACGATTGTCTCGCAGACGTGCGTCTGTGCGTGCTTGAGAAGACACATCTCAGAAAAGCCACATGTAACCTGAAATGGGACCCTACCCGTGGAAGAGAACACACACCAGGTTTCATGTGAGTTTCCTGAGATGTCAAAAAAGTGGTTTGGGGGGTGTTGGCCCTCTCTTTTGCCTGACTTAGACATTTGGAGGTTTGTCCCAAGCTTATGCAAGGGTGCGACCCGAGCACGTCTCGGGCTTCAAGAGTTTCATGTAGCCAAATCCATATGCTCTGCCACTGCGCAGATAGATGACCTGCCTTGATCCGTTTGCAGAATCCTTTCAAACAGTGCTGAAGTGATTGAAATTGATTACTGTATTGTACTGTATATAAAGTGATGATTCTTCATAGCTGTGGGGAGTGATGATGATTTTTCTTAGTGACTGTTAAACATCTGGAGATTGGATCAACTGCGCTGGTCTTGCTGGGAATCTCAGACACGTTAGGATCGCATCAACTCATTGAACTCCACAAAGGGTTTGTGTGTGCGGGTGCTTGACTGATAACTTTTGCAAGCCGCACAAGTACCAAACGTACTGTTCGGAGCATTTGGGTGGGTCCAAATTTGTCAAAAGGTATCCAACATTTCTTTAAAAAACAATTAACAACTCCAAATCATGACATTGTGAAAAACTCGGCACAACAGAGCCAGGACGTCAATGAGATGAACTTGAGCAGTTTGCTGTGGGACCTGTAGGGAACAGTACTATTCTTCATTGAGCTTTGCTTGGGTCAATGCCCAGTAGACAAATTTAAATGTAGACGATATGTGTATATATATATATACATACTGTACAGCGACTAAGTCCAACTCAGTAGCGGCTGAAAGTCCCCCTCCAGAGATACCAACAGCGCTCAGTGGTCTTGCCGGTGTCTTCGATTTGTCATCCATGACATTGACATTGTTCCCCTTTCTCACACATTGTGCGGATTCACCAATCAGTGGGTCGAGGCATTGGACACCCAGAGACTTCATGATATGAGCGAACTGCTACAAAAGACCAATGCCCGAGGTTGTTGTCTCCTGTAAGAAAGATTCTTGTACATCTCATGTGAAGTAGCACGAGATTTCCAGTACACTGCTGAGATCTGCTGAGATGTTGAACTCTCAGCCAAGCCGAAGACACTGCCATGAAGATTAGATGTGGCCCCGAGCATGTACGCTCCAGCCAAAATGATCCGAGACAGCAAAGTTATTCAGTTGTATATCGGGAATTTTACATAGTATCTTTGTGGCAGGATTGGTCGATGCTCGAGCATCCGAAGCAAACAAGCTGCTCGTGTTGTGGCGGGTCAACCTTGACTTTTAGTCCAATATTCAACACGTTTTTGGCATTGTAAGGACAAGATTTACCCTGCTGTGGCAACAGCATGCAACAGCCATCACTCAAGGCTACACTGCTTGAATTCTTACAGTGCTTGCCTTGCTGGCAGGTACTGGACGGCTACCTTCCGATGGTGGAACCACACTTGGATGTACTTATTGAAAGGACAGAGTATTTTAATTTTTTCTTCCGGGATTACGGCGCAGCGAGGCTGACACTGTGAAGTTGGATTCTTATGCACCAAATGCAGGTTCGATGACATTGAGCCTCATTTGGAATTCTGCCTGGAGCACGCGGCTCCTTGGATATGTAGAGCTCACTTTCAGTTGCATGAGGCTCATCTGGGTCTTTTTTTCGGCCTTGCCTGTCACATGACTGCAAACTTCTGAAACCCACCTGTCAACCACCTACAGTGGGCAACTTGACATTGAGTCCTCAGGATGTGGTGGTCCCACACCTCAACGAGATTGTTGAATACTTGGACGACATTCTCTTCTTCGCCCGGGAACGTTGCTTGACCGAGTCCTCTCCTGCTGCAGGCATTCCCCCTATATAGTCAATTTGCTGCTTCCTTCCTTCCTTCCTTCCGGTGACTCTTTGCTGAGAGCTTCTCGTCAGACTCATGCCCAGGGTTTCATATGAGTGCAGATCACGAGGGTTTGGGGGCTGCGATAGCCGGCGATAGCCCATGGGACATCATCTCTGAGGCGTGCTCTGGACACGGCTGGAGCCACTCTTGCCACAGCTGGTGGTGCGACTTCCAGCCTTGGGGCCGCACCTGCCTAATTTGCGAAGGCTTGAACACGTGGCAAACACCCAGCAAAGCTTGTGACGAACATTGCAAAGCTTTTGGAGGTGGGAATAGTTAAAGTAGCAGGAAAGTTGAGAACAGACACCCAGCTGTCCAGATCCTTACTGCTAGTGAATCAGGTTTTGAACCGGTGAAAAATATTTGAGGCATAGAGAAGAGCAAATATATAGAATCAACAAGAACATACCAGATCCCGGGGTTGTCCAAACCTTTTTCTCTTGATCCAAATCACCGTAAAGCTTTCTGCTAGGCATGCCAAGCTGGTGCTTCCTTATCTCCCGCTGCTGGCGCATCATGCGGATCGCTTGGCACCCTTCTTGCCCATCTCGCAGCATGCGGACGGGGCTCTGGTGGGACTAGAGTGCATAGTGGATTGAGATGAGCCAAACCTTTCGTGTTTCATTGTCTTCATTGTGTGGTGACGCAGTTTCTTTGGTAGCGGTGAAATGGGAGCCAGAAAGAGATGAACAAAGGCAGACAAATTGAATTCTGACATGTAACTTGTGGCTGTGGAGGATGCGCTTGTGCACTACCTAGGATGGGCCTTGCAGGCCGCAGCCTCATACATTCTGACAGACCAGATATGAACTAGATGTGACTCAGATGTCACAGGAGCTTCACGGAATTTGCGCCTGAGGTGCCTGGCCTCCATCGCTTTCTGTATCTCCCTGGAGTGGGGCGGGCCGCTTCGGTCACAGATGGGCTAGTGAACGGCTGGTGTGATGGATTCCAATAGCGGCGTCCGACATTTGTTTTGGAAAGAACATATTGATCAATCCCTGTTTCTTTATGTTTGATGTCAGGCATTGCACACCTCAACGGAACTTGGGATGCACCCAAATAGGATTTAGTGGTTGTTTTGGGAAACTGAGGCCTTGTCCTACCTCGCTGTGCGGCTTCCATTCTCAGGTGCTGTTCGCGAGAAGAGCGAGACTTGGCTATTTGGAGCCAACAGACCATAGAGGTCATATAGATAGAGACATTTGAGATATCGATGATCAAAGAGTCAGAGTGCTCAGAAGTCCAGCAAAACGACATACAGTAGCACACTCAACACACATAAGGGTCGGCAAGTCATGCCCTCACAGCCTAGCACTCCAAGGACATGCAGCACTTGTATGGCACTTAGTGTACATTTGGCAAGCATTTATCACTTTTCATTGCACCTTCCCGAAGCACAAACCCGATTCGCTGGAAATCGGCTGGGGTGCCATTTAGGCAGGCAACAGTTCACTGATGTTCACTGTATACAGATGTCAAGAAGCACAGCAGAGCAAGATTCCGCTACGGCTGCTACGGCTCGATGTAGTTTTACGTGCATTGCTCACTTGGCTTGCTGATCACAGCAGACTTTGCTGCGATGGCTCTTTCCATCCTCGGTTTTTTGGTCCTTCTGGTGGTTGGACAGGCCGATGAGATTTTACAAGTGCCACTGGGTGTCAAAACACCCACATCGGTGCACAGCATAAACAGCACAGATGGGATCAGCTCAGCTTGGAGCAACTTTGTGCACTGCAAGTGTGGATTCTCCTGTGCAAAAGAGCTAGGATCTTGGTACATCTTCAGTGTTGGCCAGTCCTGTTCGTGTGACGCGTGTCCCGACGCAAACACCACAGCAATGCTCCGCGGAACGAACAGAGGAGCATTGCTAGGGACAAGCTCCTTGAAGAAGCAGAGCCAAGATGCACAGCCCGTACCGGAACAGCAAACTTCGGAGAAACAGGAGAACCCACCGACTGTGGAAAGAGAGATGACCTGGGACAGTGCCCATATGCCTGGCACTAACCTTCTATATTGTGCCTGGTCAGTTACTATCAGAGCAATTCTCCTTCCAAATCAACTGTAGTCCTGCATGGAAATGGTGATAGATTTGTTTTTCATGTGTAATTAGATCAGGACTGTGGCTTTTGCCTTTCACATTGCACCTGACACTGTCCCAGGTGCTTGTGGAAAATTTTGCCTGGATGCGCGAGTGACCACTTTTACATGGACCACTTATGCATGTGCCCGCTTCAGCTGCCAACCAGGACCATGCTGAGGACTCGACGGGGTCACAGCTGCATGACTTTTGCAGCCCTGGAGAGGCCCTCTCCAGACTGCACGGCTGCACAGATGCTGAATATGTTCAGTGGATTCAGTGGATCCTAAGTTGATCCGACAAAGTTTTGCAAGTGGGCAGCAGCCATTTAGGCAGGCTGCTTTCCGCTTGTTTCCCAATATTTTATTGGGAGAATTCAGCTGAGATGATGCTCAGCACAGGAGGAATCATGTTTTGCTGATATGTCTCAGACCAGGACAGCACTTTGAAGCTGTCAAACAAGGCACCCTGACACACCCTGAAACACCTGACTGATTTTTGGTTCCTGTAGGGCGCAAGATATTTTAGGAAACACCTCGGACAGGCGGACCGTTGTCGTTGCAAGTTTGCCCCTCATCACTTCGCGACTCAAGCTGCCAATAAGCTGAAGCAAGCTTCTTCCAACACAGTCGGGTCCCGCAGTGCCATGGCCTTGCGCTTTTGGTGACCATGGGCTGGGCCCATGAGGCTTCGGCTTCTCAAGGTGCAGCTGGGAGGCCTGATGATTGTCCACAAACCAGAAGCTAAAAGAACGTCAGTGGCGCTACCTGGAACAATCTTGTGTACTGCAAGTGTGGATTCTCCTGTGCAAAAGAGCTAGGATCTTGGTACATCTTCAGTCTTGGCCAGTCCTGTTCGTGCAACACCTGCCCAACAACAAACACCACAGCAATGCTCCGCGGAACGATCAGCTCCAAACAGAGCCAAGCTGCAGAGTCCAGGGAAAGTTCAGAGACATGCGAGAACCAAAGGAGCAGTCTGGGACAACCCACAGCACCAGCTGTGGCAGAGATGACTCAGACAACCTGGGATAATGATTACCTGCATGGCTTTAACTTTCTGCGTTGTGCTTGGTTATGAAATGTCATTATATAAGTTTTTTGTCATTTAGGCGGCACAGCAATGGGTCTTTTGCTATTTTTACTTTTGAGTGGAGTATTTTATCCTCGGATCTTTGATTCACTTTCATTCAGCTTCTCAGGCCGTTGCGGGAAGCGCTGCGCAGAGCCTCCTGTCTTGATGGGTTGCTATGAGTGGTACTGCTTCCGGGAGGAGTGCAAGCCATGCCCAAATTAATGCAGCTCATCAACAGCTTTTTGAGAATGGGTGACTTCTTGAAAGTGCAGCCACACACAAGCCAGGTGGCTCCGTTATTCACCATTTTGGCAACTGAAAAGCAGTTTCAGGAAGGTGCACGGAGACTGTACAGTATAGAGTCAGCTGAGTCGGCTGAATTTTCCACCAGAATCAATGTTTGAAGTTGGTGGCAATCACACTCTGGCAGACACCTGCTCTGTTGGTGAATTCTACAGTAAGTTGTTCCAGCAAGATTTGGCATTGGTGGAACGCTTCGCCAACCAGCCGAGGCACAGAAGCTGTCAATTGCATCTTGATGGATGTTGAAAACAACCAGTGACAGCAACGGCATGCAGCGGGCTTTGTGGAACATCATCAGACTGAGATACTGTACTGGTGGAGTGGGCATTGAGATGAAAGACTTATATATTCGTAGTTGTTTAGTATTCTCAACTTGGCTGACACAGAGAACGTCATGTTGCTCTAAAAACAGGACAGGAAGATGCTCGGACTTCCAGCCACACATGTTCATAGCCTACCGTTGTTGTATTCTTTTCAAAAGCTCCGAGGCAAACTGTGGACCGCTCTTTGCTCTGAATGGCCTAGGTCAGATTCACATGCGTCGCCCTGGCCTGGATTGTCCGGTAGGGAGGCCGTGTGAGAGTGCTTCTGGGAAGATCTAGAACAGAATGCTTGAGTGGATCAGCAGAGATATGCTGGCCAACTGGGACAAAAAGCAAGGCTGACACCACCTGACCGCTGGATCCAGTGCCCTGACCACATGGATGATACTAACTAGCTGCTAGCTGATACTTATGTACTGTAATACAATTTCTGACAGCAAAGCTCGACGTTGAACCGATTCAGGCTGGGTTGCATTTTTTCACGTGACACAGGATGACCTCGCATGCATATGCTGCACCTTTCATTGATTATTCCCCAACAGTGTACTGTTAGGGGTTCTCAATTCTTTCTTAGGGTGTGTCCGCCCTTTGTGTCACTGCTGGTGTCCGCCCTTTCCCAGTCTCCTTCTCCGCTGGCGATGCAACATTTCTATTAATTTGTCTCCCAGGTCTGTCACTGGTGGTGTCCGCCCTTTTCCGTTGGCCATGTAGCATTTCTATTCATTTGTTTCCCAGGTTTCTATTCATGTGTCTCCCAGGTCTGTCACTGGTGGTGTCCGCCCGTGTCCGCTTGCCATGTAGCATTTCTATTCATTTGTCTCCCAGGCCTGTCACTGCTGGTGTCCGCCCTTTTCCGCTAGCCCTGTGTCCTTTTGTCTTCCTTCTTGTCTCCCTTCTTGTTGGTCATTGTGTCCGCCTTGTCTCCATTCCTTCTTTGTCTCCGGTCTTGTCTCCCTTCTTGTGGGTCATTGTGTCCGTC